AAATGAAAATTGCAAATTCTGGTATCTCCCAAGTATAACCCACCCAGAGAAGGGACAGGGTCTCAACCAGTGAACTGGAGCAGCAATGGCAGGCAGCCTCTGGTTCACCCCAGGCGGCTTCTGGCTCTAGACATGGAGAGGCAGGCACATTCTCCACATGTTCCACCACCAGAGAATAAGCCTTATGCTTTAACCTTATTACTTTTAGAACCCTACTGTTCTCATGGCATTATTCTCTTTAATAATCCTCCTACCTTCAAAGAAATCTTGCCACAGGCCTGTTGTCAGCTCCTTAATTAGGCCCTGTTCCTGAAATACTGTAAAGTTCCACTACCCAATAGTTTTGAAGGGCAGTACTCTTTGGGGGGTGGCCAAAGACTGTTCAATTCATCATAGAATCAAGAGGTAAGGAACTGGAGCTTTGGCAATATTTGCTAAAATAATATATTTGTGTATATTAGCATTTTTATACATTATCACTTTTAAACTTTACACCAAAGAAAAGATGAGACTTTTTAGTATTCAGTGATATCCTCAGAGCCACTTTCTTAAATGCTTCTATTTTTTTGTGTATGAAATATTTAGTATCTCATATTTTCTCTATACACACACAAAACATGTCTCTAATGACTTTACCATGCAGTTGGAAAATCTTTACATGCTTGAAGCAAACCATCCTGTGTACTATCATGTCACATCTTGGCCAAGAAAACATGCAAACTTAATACGTATGGTCCTCTGTCATTCACCTTCAGAAAAGAAAAGGGCTACGTATTTGTACTTTGCAAGCATACAACTGTGACTTCCTAAAGTGCCTTATCCTTTAAAAATACACATTTTATGTTTTTGCGCTGCTGGATTAAAAGAAAAATTTATTTTATGGAACAAAACTAAAATATCTGCTGGAATTAAATACCACTTTGGTCCATGATAATTCTCTTCATACCAATTTTCTTTTCTTTTTGGGGAGGGGGGTGGGGGGGTTTTCTGGTACCGGGAATTGAACTCATGACCTTGCGCTTGCCAGGCAGGTGCTGTGCTGCTGAGCTAAACCCCCAGCCCCTCATACCAATTTTCTACTATATGACTATAATAACTTTTCACCATTCATTTAATATACCTGTATGTTTTTGAGCTTACCTACATGAAAAAAAAAAAAAAACCTATTTTAAAGAGTATCTTTCTCAGAAATGAGAACACATCAGCAGCAGAAGTCAGTGCCCGCCAGGTGACAACTGGGTGTAAGAACAGGGTGTAAGAACAGGGTGTAAGACAGGGCTCAGAAGAATTTGTCAGCCCTAGTCCTTTCCTCAGCAGACTCTAGTTTTTCTTTTCTTTGATGTATTTTCCTATTCCTCTCCTTCCCCAACATGGAAGCTCAACTAAGACAAAGACACTGTCCTAGCTTCTCTAGGAAAGAATAAAATAGTCCAATGAAGCTGCATGTACTGGCTGGTCCTTGTTCTAATTTAAAATTTTTTGTTTGTTTGTTTTCCGGTACCGGGAATCGAACTCACGACTTTGCACTTGCCAGGCAACCGCTGTGCCGCTGAGCTAAATTCCCAGTCCCTCTAATTTAAAATATTAACTTTAATATATTTTTAAACTATCTTTTATTTATATTTACATAGATAAATATCAAAACAATCACAATTATAACACTCATTTAGTTGACATTCACTATGTTGAGGCACAGCATTATCTAAAACTCCATAAATTGGATTTTAACTCAATAAAACTCAATAAAATAAGGGCTTTTCAAAAAAGTGTTCACTTAGAGCTAAAATGAGTATTCAACATAGCAGGGAAGAGTAAGGGAGTAAAATGTGACAAAATTTCAAGGCATACTTATAAATATGAGCTTCAATCTAGTATTTGTGAAAAAATATTTTTACCTAAATAGTGATCTGAATTCAAAAGGCATGGGAGGTCAGTTTTCTGAGGGTCAAATAAGTAAGGAAAATTACTAAAGATCTTCTGAAAATAAATACACTAAAACGGTCAGCAATGTTTATGTGCACACCTTTTATGCAAAGCTGATATTAACAATGTCACACTAAATGGTGATTCTCCCACAATAATTATTACAGTGGTACTTTGGTTCACCAAAGCTTTTATTTGCAAATAATCTGGTTTCCAAACCAAATTGTTTGGCAAAATTCTGTTTTTGTTTGCAAACTCTGCATTGGGTGCCAAATATGAATGTGGCCATCTTTTCCAGAATTCTGGAATGAATTAAGTTCATAAACTGAGGTACTACTATATTTGGTTAGAAAGATAAAATATCACTTGCAATTAGAAAAATAAAAAAGTAAACTACATTCACTAAATAAAATTCTGGTAACTATGGCTAACTACATGGGTATAGTCTCCTGAAAGGATTTATCAGAACCTTGCTGAGAAGTGAGATAGATAGTCCTGAAATGGAAAAATAGCAAGGCAATTCTGATCCCTCTATTTCTTTTTTTACACCCTCCAAGCCTCACTGCAAGAACCATTACTATGTATCATGATCTTTCAAAATACACAAAACCAGGTTTCCACACAGGCAAAGTATACAGACTATACTGAAAGTGGCAAATACAGTGATACCTCCCTCAGTTGTCCAACTCCATTTGTTCCAAATTCCTGTTCAAACAGTGAAAAGTTTGAGAACTGAACATATTTTTCCCATAAGAAATAGTGGAAAACCAAATAACTGGTTCTGAAGCCCAAAAATTACACTTATAAATTCAATTTGCCAGGACTTTAACAAATTTCACAATAATTTTTCTTTAATTCTATTGTGGCTCTCACAGTTTTCCTCTTAACTTTACTGCTGGGATCACTAACTTTCTTTGGAGCCATAGTTAACAGTATTTTATGCAAATATGGTGCCAAAAAAAAAGACAATGGCAAATGTTTTAACACACTAACACAAATACTATATGTTGCCTGAGCAAGAGTGCCACTTAGACTGAATGGACTTATTCTTGGCCCCTACAGGTTTTTTCAAGTCAGATTTTAGGTTAAATTATCAAAGTTTCAAACACTGAGCAGACTTTTTTTGAGCTTTGCTGGTCTAGTAGTGGAAAGTTTGAGCTTGGAGCCATTCAATAACCGACATATCATTGTATACTCAAAGTAACAAACACACTTAAGTATACTGAAAGTAAATCTGTGCTTTCCTTCAACGTAGGCTCTATCTTCAAAAGGTTAAGTCTGTGTAGAGAAAAAGAAAAAATTGCCAGGCCTGCAATCAGAAAGTAAGAAGTGAGAAAAGCACACCTTTAGAGCTAAGTTCATCATTAACTACATTGTTACTTCAACTAAGAACAATTCCTTGGCAAAAATTTTTAAGTATTTAAGATGTACAAAATAAACAGTACCTAATTTTCCTATAATTTTAGGCCCGCTCTTTTCAAAAGTCTGACTGAATCTATATTTAGTTCCTTTTTAAAATAATATAACAATTGTTTAAGAATTCTCTCATTCTTTTTTGGGAGAAAATAGTATTAATTCTATTACTTAAAAGCAGAAAAAAATATCAAAATGTATTCACTAGGCGCGAGGAAATCAAAGACCAAGAAACAGATGGCCCTGCCCGCTGGAAAAATACTAGCTATAATTGTCAAGCTTGCATTATAGAGGAATTTTAACTTCAAAATAAAAAATGAGAGACTTTGCCAGATAAATAATGAGGTACGATTTTTGTTTATTTTACAATAAGCATATAACTTAAAAATTTTAAAGTTTAAGAACTGGACCTTCTTTATACATGGGACTAAAATTCTTAATTGGAGCCTATATTTAATATCTTCTCATTAGGAAAAAATATAAAAAAGGGTTCCATTGCCTTCAGCTTCCATAGATAGTATATACATGAGTTGATCTGTATTCCAATAAAAAATCTGCAAACACAAGCAGACTTCAGTTAGCTTTGAACAATCCTCTTTTTAAACCAATGTTAAATTATGTAAAATTACAGGTAAATAAGAGGTAAAAAAAAGAGAAAAAACTACATATAATTACTTCAAGCTATCAAGTCTTCATTTCTGTTATCAATGAAAGCTGTTACTAGTATCAGAAGTCTACAGAGCTGAAAGGAAAGGGAAGAATGATTAATGTGTTTAAAAAACCTGTCTCTTAGACAATTGTTTCATTTAGATGATCCATACAACAAACATTTACTCAGTACACATGGTCCCCTGGCTCTACACAAAACAACACACAAATATTTACTACCAATTAGGCTGGCTAAGCACATGATGTGGAAATAACCACTAACTCTGAAAGATGTTATAGGATTTAACAGATTTCCACACATATTACCTTAATAAAGTCTCATAACAACCCTGTGAAGTACATGAGTACTTGGTGTTATTTTCACTTTAGACAAAACTGGTAACATAGCAGTTAGGATTTAAGCCTCCAGTACTACTACTCCACGCCTCTTTAGTACAGCTTGTAGAGACCAGTGAGAACGAGCAAGATTTTGATAGGTGAAGACACAGTTGCATCCCAAGAAAACAAAAGACCCAGAAATCCAGAAGCAGAAGAACACAATGTATGCGAACAGAATGCTAGGTTAGTTCACGTGAGACAGACAGGCAATATTAGGCTAGAGAGATGGCCTAAAGCACGAGGAGAGCTTTAAAATGACTAGTGAGGAATCAAATGGTTCAGAACGAGAAAGAAGAAACAAACATGAAACTTGTAAAGTGTGTTTTATACTAAACACATGCTACAAAAGACAGATCTCATAATAGGGATGTTAAGTTATGGGGCAGTGTTATAGGGATATTAGACTTTGAGAAGTTTTCAGCAGTACTCTAAAAAGGTCTGAAAGAAGGGGCAGTAGTTGAAAGCCATCTCTGCAGTTTCAGCATGAGGTGTCAAAGATTGCAAAGCAATTTATACATCTGATGTGATGGTTGTTACAGGTTTTCACTACTCCACCTTCAAAATTTAACCAATATCCAAAGTTACCTAAATTTTCCTAATTTTTATCTAAAACTTACAGAATCTTCCGGAGGTCTCTGGATTTTCCCCCAATCCACAGACGGTCCTTTTTCTTGCAAAAATCTATGAAATAGCTTCCGAAATCCATCAAGATCTTTTTCAGTGTGCTGTGAAAACAGAAGTCAACATTATAAGCTACTTCATATTTAATAAAAACAGATATAAACCATACATTTAAAATGTTTAAATGAAAGTCTTTTAGAATACAGAGAAGAGAATTTTTCACACTCTAATTTAAAGCTAGAGTAGAAAAGCTAGTAAGACCCACATTTCAAGGATAAGAAGCCAAAAATCTTCCCTGTCTCCTATCAGTATTATATCATGTAACTTGAATACCATTTAATTCGTGGAAATTTCAACTGGTTCTCCGCATTATCACCAATAACTTTCTCTACCTCTATGTGGAAATTAATCTTTTTTTCAGATCACTTTATTACCACATGTTTCAGCACGTTTACATTCCTTGTGGGAAGGTAACACATGTACATAGCGCATCCAAATTCTTTTCCTCATCCCTTTCCTCATCCCATCCATCTGTCTCTTGACCTCCTTCATTTTTCCTTCTACACGTTTGCAGTACAGGCTTACATTCCTTGTCTGGAGTTGGTACATGTACATAACACATCTTAATTCCTTTTTTATCTCCTTTCCCTCACCTCACTCCCTCCTCCCTCCATCTCCTAATCCCCTTCCCCTTTAAGAAAGATCTATCTCCCTACTACCTTTAATCTATCTTTTATTTTGTTCTTTGTTTATATTTGGGTTTCTCATATAGGAGAAACCATGCAATATTTAAGTTTGTGTGTGTGATTTATTTCACGAAACATTATCATCTCAAGTTGCATCCTTTTTCCCACAAATGACTCGTTTATCTTCTTTATGGCAGAGTTGTACTCCATGATATATAAATACCACATTTTTTAAATCCATTCATCTGCTGATGGACATACAGGACACTTCCAAGATTTAGCTATTATGACTGTGCTGCCATAAATATGGATATGCATGCATTGTTATATGATATTTCTGCCAAAAGAACAAAAAGGAATAAAACACAGCTAACTTAAAACATTAAGTATAAATTTTGAAATTAGAAAAGAATATTCTATTGATTCACAATTGCCACTAAGTACTGATATGTACTTGTGTACCATTGATATCAAAACACAGAACAAATAAAACATAATTTTATTATTATTTTGTGATTTTGGTGTGATTTTGGAATGTGATTTTGGAAACTTCCTACACTTAAAAAATAAGATTTAATGGTTTTACTATGGGCAAATGTTGAAATTCTTGATTGCTAGGTGATGCTAATTTTTTGCTTGATGTTATCATACATCTAATGCTTATTTCAGGCTAGACAATCACCACTGGCAGCAACTAACTCTGTAGATGGATATAGCAAAAAAACACTGTAAAGTCCTTACCTCAAATTCATGTGAGGGTGCTGTGGTAAGTATTTTTTCTAATTCCTTCTTCACAGATAATTCTAGCTCTTGTCTAATGACTTCTTGGAATTGAGAAGCACCATCTTGAGACATTGCTTTGCTAAGATCTTAAAACAAAAATATAAAACTGTTACCTGAAAAATCAACTACCCAAACAGCTATAAAGAATATTTCTAGGGGCTAGGGATTTAGCTCAGTGGCACAGCGCCTGCCTGGGAAGCGCAAGGTCATGAGTTCAACTCCTGGTACCAGAAGAAAAACAAAAGCAAACAAACGAACAAAAAAAGAATATTTCTGGTATGCTAGCAAATGAAAAGGACTTGGTCCTATGGTCCACGATCCTTTGGCAGGATTTTATCAGGATCAACTAATTAGGACTATATAATAAACAAGCTCAAAATTAAACACTTTTGGGTAGGTGAGACAGGTTAAAGTAAAAGGATTAATCTACATTTGAGCACATAATTCCATTTCTACTAATGTTTCCCTACTAGCTATCAAAACTGGAGAAAAATTAAAAACAATTGGAGTAACATTAATAATTGCTGCCTCAAAAGAGAGCTGGAAAGGTCTGACAAATTCACAGCAGCAAGACTCCTCCCTTTTCCTCTCAAATCTGTCAGGGAAGTAAGGGCCTCATTGGGCTTTGTGGCTAATCCTGACCAGAAAGAGTTAAAACAGAAAAGTGATAAGCCACGCCAGCCCCTAACCAAGTGAGCCTAGCCACCCACCCCTACCATCAATAAAATACTAAGGAGACAAGGCATGGCCACTTAAACACAGCTCTTATTTAATATATAAAAATACACACACACGCACATGCACACACACACACACACACACACACTCACTATGCTACTGCACTAAATTCACACACATCCTTCAGATTTAATTGCTAACTTGACCTTGTATGCTTATATGTAAAAGGCGAAACATTTATATGATCTGAAGAGAAACCAAAGTATGTAGCTTATATGTAAAGTCCCTTCTCACCAACCCATAAGTTCTAAAGATAAGGCCCTGACAGGGCAAGAAAAAAATCAAATAAAGACCACTTAGGAATGTGCAGGGAGAGGATGGTGTGTGGGGGCCTAGAGTCTTAGGGCTTGGGATCCATCTGTGACAAACAACCCAGGTAACCAATCAGGTTATGGCAAGTTGCAAGTAGGCGGAAGGGCCCTGATACCCAATAAAAACACCTGTGTACAAAGGGCCCATGGATATCTGGCTCCAGGCCTCCTACTTTCTCTCAGGGTAGCTTTCTGTCTTATTTCTCTTTTTTCTTTCAAATGAAGTTTTCTGTTTCCTTCCAAATTTTGTACCTAATTCTTTATGGAATCTTTTCCATTTCAGAAGAGAAACTACTCCACCTTCATATTCCCTGCTAAAAAAACTCTTTGGGAGATACTGGAAATTCCAAGGTGTCTTTACTTTCATAGATCAACAGTTTTACTTCTAAAGAGTGAAGGGCTGCCTGCCCTCTCCTGGTGCCCAATTTGAGCCAAGACTTTTCCACTGCTCCTCTGTGTCAACTAGACTCTCAGAGCTTTTGGCATACCTGGGCACCTTTCTGACAGATAAAGGTGATAGTAATGCCTGTTAGATGAATATAAATAAAAACAGAAAACAACAGAAAAAAGAAAAACACAGGCCACCAAATACCTTGGGAAAAAAACACTAATACAGGTTGTTGTACATACTTTAAGTAAAACTAAGGACAATTAGATTATTATCCATTTTTTTCCTTTAGCCTCAGGGCCTAATTCAATCTTATTTTATAAATTTATAAATTTTTAAGCTTATAAAAACATTTCCTTTGATATCTACTGATTTCTGCAAATGCTGGTTATTTCAACAGAACCACATTCTCAAAAGGCAAAAAAAAAAAAATCCCTTCTACATTTCCCCACACTATAAAGTATTTCATTTATTATGTGGGCAAGAAAAGGAAACATTTATATAGACAGAATTAAAGCCAATATAACCTATATTTTAAAGATACTTTTGAGAACAGGCATTAGTAAACCTTGTAACTGCTGGGGTAATTTATTTAATGTAGTCAGCCTCTACTTCTCTCAAATATATAAAAATGTTAATAAATGAGATATTTAAACAAAGCTCTTCAGAAATAGAAAGGCACACCACACACATCTCCCATCATTTTAAAACCAAGGAGAAAAAAAAATCCAAGGAAATTTGGTGACAGCATACAATTCAATCCTAACTAGCCGTTTTCTAACTGTGCACTTCTTATAGCCATAAACAACAACACAACTAAGTATACAGACTCCAGTAAAATTACTAAAGTGCCCCAAGACTGTAGGTCACATAGCTATTCATAAATAACTTTTCTGTGAGCTAGTAATAAGCATTATGTCTCATTAACCACCTAAAACTATGTTTTGACTAGTAAGAGGTAATTTGATTATAATCTGTAAAAAACTATGACAACAGATGGGCACATGTACCTCAGGTATTACAGGTAGTTAAAAGCCACTGCAGTACAGTTTAAACTAGAACTAACATGACCACGCTGTTTATTCCTTGGGAGACAGTCATTAACCTAAAATTTGTCAAGGTTAAATTTCCCACCTTGATGCCTCATGTGTACCTAGGAGTCATCTTCAGTCTTTGATTCTCATATTAATGCTTGGAAAAATAATTTAGAAGAAAAATTTAAATATAGAAAAAAACTTTCACATTAAAGAACACAAACTATCTGATTCTGGGTCATGATCTCGATAAATTAAAATAGATCAAAAAATTACAATGGTTTTTAAATTAAATTATTTGTTAGACTCAAAGACATCTTATAGACTTGCTACTTTGTTGATGAAGTTAGAAGACAAGCATTCATAATCACTTTTCTAAAAATTAGAGATGGAAACATTTAACTTACTCATATTTTAGGCAAAAAAGGATAAAACCAAATGTAACTGTGAAGTTTAAAAATAACTAATATAGCTATTTGAGATTTGTCCAAATGTGGAAAGTGAAAAACAACTTTAGAGGTTTTCAATGCAGAAAAATAGCCTATCAACTTACATGCTTTAAGGTGAAAATATACAGAAACTACCAGGTTAATACTATCCCCTCTACCAAGTCAAGCTAGGGAAGGCTAGCTGAAAGAACCATATTAATATTATCTGTGATCTTTACACATTGTAGCAGGTCAAACTTTCAGAAACAGATTCAAAACATTTAAACACAGATTCAAACTTGAGTTGTAAGAAATATTCCTAACCTTTATTTCTCTCATTTGTTTGATAAATATACCAAAAACACAGGAAGAAAAATGTATATATTTTTCTACCATGTTTTTAAGTGTAACTAGTTTATACAAAAAAAGAACATTATAACAAACCTATAACCGCCTCTACCCCATTCTGCTGTTGTTTCACTCCCTCTTCTCCTGGGCAGAAGTTCTATTTCTAGTGCTTAAAGAACAAGGAAGGGCTATGTAGGCTTGTACTTCCAGAGTTCTAGGAGGCTGAGGCAGGAGGATCACAAGTTCAAGTACAGCCTGGGCAACCTGGCAAGACCTTGTCTCTAAATAAAAAATTAAAAAATAAAAGGCTGAGGATACAGTTCAGGGCAAAGGCCCTCGGTTCAATCCCTAATACCCTAGGGGTTGAGTGGGGGAATAAAGAAGGGCTTTCAAGGAATAAAGAATATTCAAGAATAAACAAAAAGGAAAAGTGCTTATGCAACCAGAGAAGCTGAGAGGCCTGGGCACGATCTAAAAGCACAGAGACAGAAACCACTTCTCTTTACAATGACTTCCTTACCCATTCTGAATTGTTTAAAAAAAGGTATGGAATTTCTGGTAGGAAAGAAAGTACAGACCTCAGATGCTTTTTTGGATTTAAAATTCTCAGATTACACTGCTGGTGATGACAGCTGTGTTTCTAAGGGAAGGTCAATTAAAGAACCCCCTGAATAATGCAAGATTTGTAACCTCATAAAATGTTTTTGTCCTTTCCCTCTTCCTAGCAAAACAGAACTGACCCTCCATGACTTCAGGCAGAAAGTAATATAGGAATCAAACATCTCATTATCTTAAGCATTAATCAAAACATTTTTAGAGATAGGGCAATTAATTTACCCTCCTTATTTTGCAGATAAGTAACCTAAGGTTGAAAATAGTTCAAAGACTTATCCAAGGTGACAGAGTAAGCTAATGCTGGGTCCCAGAAGGAAAACTTTTTCTTTTCCTGAGCCCTATCCTACCACAGTGAGTAGAAATAGCCTATTCATACATATCCCATGCCTCCTTGCCCCAGCCTGGCTCTCTTTAATTTTTGGCTTGAAATCCCTATCACTCACCTTCAAAAGCAGTTCTGTCAGAATCTCTTATGTCGAACCAACACTTAGAATAACTCTTCACCCCATCAAACTGGACTTACAAGAATCACTTTGATTTATTTCATTATACTTTTAGTCAACTTCATACAGAACAAGCAGTAATTGTTTTTACTATCTTCACCCCTCACCCACAATTTCCTAATTCTTCCTTGTTCACAAGAAACAAAATTTCAACCTTACGGACTTTCTATCAAACTACAGAGTAAAAAAAAACAAAAAAAGAAAAAAAACTAGAAAGAACAATGAATGAAGAAATCAAGAGGGAGGAGATATTCAGTCTGACAAGAGTTTGTTTTTATTTCTTAATTCAAGTATTTCATTCCATGCATTTCAGCAACTAAGAGGTATACAAAATACCCTTCCTGACACTCTGCTATGGGCACAAACAAAATAACTTCACATTCTAAAATACAAAACTAGCTTCATAATGCACAGGCCATGAAGAAGCCCCTGGGAAAATACCTAGATCAACAAAAGATAGAAGAGCTATCCTTAGCCCACCTCTCACAACTCAGATGATCTGATCAGTACTAACCTTCCTGAGAGGCCCATATTGAGAATTAAAAGAATTAGAGACCCCACCTAATCTTAAACTAAGAAATGACTTGTGATTCAAATAAACACAAAACTCTTAATTAAGATTGTAGTGGCAACTAGAAATAACCGTGAGTAATAACCATGGAATACTGACGAGATTTACAACCAATTCAGGCTAACCAACTTCTTCTGGGCTCTCTATAGT